TACGGTACGAGTAAAGTGACTTGCCGGTAACAAGATTGAACGAGGTATTGGGATACCGACGATCGAATCTCGGGCAAGTAACATATCGATTGACAAAGGGAATTGCATACGGGGTTGATTAAATCCTCGACATCGTGGTTCATCCGATGAGATCATCGTGGAGCATGTGGGAGCCAACATGGGTATCCAGATCCCGCTGTTGGTTATTGACCGGAGAGCGATCTCGGTCATGTCTACATGTCTCCCGAACCCGTAGGGTCTACACACTTAAGGTTCAGTTACGCTAGGGTTGTAGGGATATGTATATGCAGTAACCCGAATGTTGTTCGGAGTCCCGGATGAGATCCCGGACGTCACGAGGAGTTCCGGAATGGTCCGGAGGTAAAGATTTATATATGGAAAGTCCTGTTTCGGGCATCAGGACAAGTTTCGGGGTTATCGGTATTGTACCGGGACCACCGGAGGGGTCCCGGGGGCCCACCGGGTGGGGCCACCCATCCCCGGGGGCCACATGGGCTGTAGGGGGTGCGCCTTGGCCTGCTTGGGCCAAGGGCACCAGCCCCATATAGGCCCATGCGCCTAGGGTTCAAGGGGGCAAGAGTCCTAGGAGGGTAAGGCACCTCCTAGGTGCCTTGGGGGGGAGGGAAACCCCCCTTGGCCGCCGCACCCCCTAGGAGATTGGATCTCCTAGGGCCGGCCACCCCCTTGGCACCCCTATATATAGTGGGGGAGAGGAGGGACTTCATACCTTGAGTCCTTGGCCTTTGGTTGCCTCCTTCTTCCTCCCCAACACCTCCTCCATCTCCTTATTGCTTAGCGAAGCTCTGCCGGAGTACTGCAGCTCCATCAACACCACGCCGTCGTGCTGCTGCTGGTGCCATCTCCCTCAACCTCTCCTCCCTCCCTTGCTGGATCAAGAAGGAGGAGACGTGGCTGTTCCGTACGTGTGTTGAACGCGGAGGTGCCGTCCGTTCGGTGCTAGGATCTCCGGTGATTCGAATCACGTCGTGTTCGACTACATCATCCCCGTTCTTTGAACGCTTCCGCTCGCGATCTACAAGGTACGTAGATGCATCCAACGACTCGTTGCTAGATGAACTCCTAGATGATCTTGGTGAAACGAGTAGAAATTTTTTTGTTTTCTGCAACGTTACCCAACATCCGGTACTCCGATAAATACCCGAATCACTCAGAACCTTTTCGATGCCCGAATATAGTCGTCCAATATATCGATCTTTACATCTTGATCATTTCGAGACTTCTCGTCATGTCCCCGACCTCATCCGGGACTCCGAACTACCTTCGGTACATCAAAACACATAAACTCATAATATAACAGTCATTGAACTTTAAGCGTGCGGACCCTACGGGTTCGAGAACAATGTAGACATGACCGAGACACGTTTACGTTCAATAACCAATAGAGGAACCTGGATGCTCATATTGGGTCCCACATATTCTACGAAGATCTTTACCGGTCAAACCGCATAACAACATACGTTGTTCCCTTTGTCATTGGTATGTTACTTGCCCGAGATTTGATCGTCGGTATCTCAATACCTAGTTCAATCTCGTTACCGGCAAGTCTCTTTACTCATTCCATAATACATCATCCCGCAACTAACTCATTAGTTGCAATGCTTGCAAGGCTTATAGTGATGTGCATTACCGAGTGGGCCCAGAGATACCTCTCCGACAATCGGAGTGACAAATCATAATCTCGAAATATGCCAACCCAACAAGTACCTTCGGAGACACCTGTAGAGCACATTTATAATCACCCAGTTACATTGTGACGTTTGGTGGCACACAAAGTGTTCCTCCGGTAAACGGGAGTTGCATAATCTCATAGTCATAGGAACATGTATAAGTCATGAAGAAAGCAATAGCAACAAACTAAACGATCAAGTGCTAAGCTAACGGAATGGGTCAAGTCAATCACATCATTCTCCTAATGATGTGATCCCATTAATCAAATGACAACTCTTGTCTATGGTTAGGAAACATAACCATCTTTGATCAACAAGCTAGTCAAGTAGAGGCATACTAGTGACACTCTGTTTGTCTATGTATTCACACATGTATTATGTTTCCGGTTAATACAATTCTAGCATGAATAATAAACATTTATCATGATATAAGGAAATAAATAATAACTTTATTATTGCCTCTAGGGCATATTGCCTTCAAACCTCTCCCCCGGGTCAAAATTACCATATCTATGCAAATAATATGTTTTTATTAACATGGATTCGTAAAACAAGAAAGGAGCCTCTGCATTTTAGTTTATAAAAGAATCAATTTTTAAAAGTGTTTTCAATTATGGATTGCCCTCCAATTTCCCATTCTAGCAAATTTGCTTTTGACCGGGTTGTGGTGCATGTGAAACTTGCATAACCATCTTGTTGTACGAACTTGGAGACGCCATATTGATCTAGATGGAATTGAAACCAGTATGATGGTGAACTCTTGTGAATCCTTTTCCCCTTCTCCTATGACCTAGTGATCAAAGTGATGACCAATCTACCTTCTTCCCCTGCGAGATTGCGGGTCCCCTCTCCCCTTTGTCTGTTGCTCTGGCGACGGGAGGAGGTGGGGACCCTAGGTTTTTTGCCCACTTGTGGTAGAGTGAGAGATACATTTAGATTTCATCTTCAATCGACGGTGGTGACGATGGCATCGCCATGGGCATGGAATAAGTTCACCTTGACTTGTCCTTGTTTTGTTGATGCTTCTTAATATCACCACCAGGTGGAGGATGGTGTGTCATCATATATGTTATTTTAGGTCTAATTTTTTTTCTTCTGCAGGTTTGCTTCGGCGACGTTGCCTGCTATGTGTATTAGTCCCTCGCCTCCAGTTCTGATTGACAATGGTTGGTCAGTCTATACCTTGTTGAAGAGCGTGTGACATTTGTGTTCCCCAACTCTGTCTACCTGACCTATGGCATTCTACCGGCTTCTCTAGCAGTTTCTTTTTTTCGAAATGAAGATTTGCTTACCCCCCCACTTATAAAATATTTGAAATTATAGTTTTGTCCTAAGTCAAACTTCACTAAGTTTGGTCAAGCCTACATAAAAATATAACAACATCTATAAACATCAATACTTCATTAAATTCATTTTGTTCGACATATATTTTGATATTGTAAATCTCAGCAGTTTTTTCTATTCGCTTGGTCAAACGTTAAAAAGTTTGACCTAGGATACAACTAGAACTTTGATTATTTTTGAAGGGGGGAGGGGGTGAGGGTAGATCATAAATGTGGGCGTCTTTTGGTCTACATCAAGGTCTTCATTGAAAAAGGCTTTCGCTTGATTTATATATAAAGCATCAACCACCAAGCAAAATCGATACAAACAGCTCCACTACCGTACACAACACACATACCCAAGGCAAGATACAAAGGTGTCGGGCACCCCCACAGTGCTACACCACCCAACGACTATCAAGCAAACTACAGACGAAGAAGAACCGCTTGGAGCTGGCGAGACCGGCGGCATGGGCGATCCACCAAGGAGAGGTGAGACCGACAACGAGGTGCGATGACTCCAAGACGAAGCCTCCAAGAAGGGCACGCCCATGGATAGCCCCCATCGCCCGATCTCACCGATCAAGTTTTCACCTGGAGCACTAAGAAAGGAGTGGGGACACCACGATGGAGCCTTCAGGAAGGAAATGACGTCCACGAACGCCACCGCCGCCGGCCAGTACAAGGACTAGGCAAGTGATGTACCCCAGCGCTCACCCTCCGTCAGCCCGCTTGCAGCCGAGCTGCGCGATCCGCCCACGACCATCGCGCCTCCCACCGCGAGGGTCGCCGCCCTGCACCCAGACCACCGCCTATACAAGCTACTTTATAGGCGACAACAAGCTTTGCTCACGGCACGCTCGCCGGCTGATGTGAGGAAGAATATTTCAACGCCCCCAAGAATTTAATGTATTTTTTAATTTCTATATAAGGAAGCGTGTGCTACTTAATACATGCCTTTTTTTGCCAAGAAAAACCCATCATGCTGGTGAAGGTTCTATAAAAGAATGTTTGATCCACTGAGGATAGCTTAGTACGATCGGTTTATATAAATGATAACAAGACATAATTATTTTGCTAATCATTATAATTAATTCTCTTGTGTGTTAAAAAAAAAGAACGAAAGCGCGCATAAACCCGTCGGCTACACGCGAGCCGAGCGACGCGAGCACACACGCAGAAGCGAACTCAGCACACTGGGCTCGGCTCGAGATCCCAGTAGAAAAGGAAAGGAGGCAGCCCTCGTCCACCCCCACAATCCCAAGCCGCAGCAGCAGCAGCAGCGGGTCGCCTCCCCTCCCCCGAAATCCCCTCGCGCACCAGAGAAAACTACATACACACCACCACCGTCGAATCCCACCACCCGCCTTCCCTCCCTCCCCTACGCGCACGCCGCGCCGCGCCCCGCGCCCGGAGACCCGCGGGCCCCATCCTCTCCGCGAGGAAGGAGAGGGCGAGCGAGCGGAGCCCGCCCCCCCTCGGAGCTCGGGTCCGCGCGCGGGAAGATCCGGGCTTCTCGCCGTCGCGGCTTCGGCGGCAGAGGTCGGGGCTAGCTGTTGCCGGCCCGCCCGCGCTGGATTTCGCGTCCCCTCTGCCGATTCGGGCTCGGGATCCCCGGTCCGGTGAGATTCCCCCGCCCGCCCTGCTCCCGAATTCCCTCACTGACAGTAGCAGCTTCCCCCCGTACTGCCCTGTCGCGTCGTGAAATGTTGGGGTGATTGCGATTTCGTGGCCCGTCGCGTCTGGCGGATGAGCTGAGTTAGGCGGAAAGGTGAGGTGATTTGCCGTGCCGTGGCCCAGAAGAAGGCCTGTTTGTTTAGGCTGGAATCTAGTGTCTGCGATCGGTGCGAACATATGGCCGTGCCCATGTGCATACGATGTCCGCAGCTTGTCGTTAGGCACGATTTTGGATTAGAATTCGGTCATGTGTACTCGGGCAACTAAAATAATCTGATGGCATGCCATAGGAATGCCAAGTTTCTATACAGGCAGTAGTAATTTTTTGTCACATGATAAACGTTTCCTGTCACATGATTCCATGCTTTGGCTCATTTATTTACATGTGTATTTATTACACACTGTCTTAGTTTCCTAGTAGTATTGATGATGTAGAGCGTCTCCCCT